CCTTCAGGCACCCCCCAGGGCTCTGAGGACCCCTCCTGCAAAGTCAGAGATCAGTATACACGACACAGTGAGGGGTGATCCTGTCAGAGTGGGGAGGGCAGCGAGCGGGGACAGCCGTGAGGGATGCAGCAGAGCCCGAGGTCGCACGTGCGTGTGCCCTGCCATGCACCCCGCCGTGCGCCCTGTATCGTGGCTGCAGTCTGCACCTCACTGCTTAATGATATCATTTTAAACATCTCATTACAGAGAATGTCCAAGCATCACCCCACTAGAGGGAGTGGCCAACAGATGCCTGTGCACTATTGCCCAGCTTTTTTTTGTGAAAAGTGAACTGGTGGCCGATCTCATTATTTTACGTATTCCCAGACAAATACTTCTAACACTGGTGTTCTTAAAGCTGATTCTATTCAGCAATGGTATGCTGGAGTGCATCTATCACAGCGAGAATTCTCAAAGAGCTTCTGCCTTTAAGCAAGGTTGTTCCAAATGGAAGCGGAGGAGCACAGCAAGAATGAATATCAGTAAATTAGGATTTTAATTAATTGCCTCATAAGAAGGGCTTCCAAGCAATGTCATCGGGTTGAGTCAGAACTCGATGGAAAAATAAGATGGAGGAATACAGCTGACTCTGCAAAAATGGAACATGATCTGAAAAAGAAAAGGGAAAACACGAGGCATTGTTCTTGTTCAGTTGCTCAGTCGTGTCTGACTCTCTGTGACCCCATGGACTGCAGCATGCCAGACCTCCCTGTCCATCACCAACTCCCAGAGTTTACTCAAACTCACATTCATTGAGTCAGTGATGCCATCCAACCAACTCATCCTCTATTGTCCCCTTCTCCTTCTCCCTTCAATCTTTCCCAGCATCAGAGTCTTTTCCAGATGGCATGTTTGTGAGTAAATCAGTACTCGCAATAGTGGGTCAAAACAAATCCTCTGGGACAATGGGTTTATGTCTCTGGGGCTGACATTGTAAACGCTGAACATGTCTGTTTTCTGGAGGCAGGTGACAGCCCCCGACGTCAGCTCCAGGGGTAGGTGTCCGCTAAGTCTCCCTTCATGCAAGAGGGGATCCAGTCTGAATGAATATTCTACTTCCAACTCCTTGGTTGTAGAATTATTTTTCAATTTCATTTGAGCAGTGTTAACATTTTCAGAAAATCACATACATATGAAGCATGTATGTATTCTCTTGGGCACTTTTACTCAATAATCAGGATGTATCGTTTTTCCCCAGGAGGGCACGTCCATAGTTGAATGGACACTGGCGTCTGCCTGGTGCCCATCTATTCTGTGCAGAACGCTGGCAGGGCCATGCGGGCCAGCTCTGTCATCTACTGCAGTGGGCAGGGGGCTGGGCAGCTGCCAGACGGGCCGTGTGGCCCAGTCCTCAGCCCCCGGAGGAGGGGTGGCCCTGCGGTTGTGGTCCGTGTGCTCAGGGTGCTGAAGGCTCTGCGCTGAGGGGCTATCGGGGATGTGATAGACGGCAGGAGCCACCTCTGCAGGGGGTCTCCTGATGCCGGAGTCCAGCTGTCACTGGTCATGTGGATCCTGGGCTATATTTCCCCCATCTGGGTGCTCACAGCGACTCCAGCTGCCCCCGGGGTGGGTGGGTTAAAGAGTGTTTGCTTTGCTTGGCTCAGGGTGACCCATGGCTGAGCCGGACAGCGGGAAGACCCAGGACCAGAGTGACCTTGATGGGGTTGCGGGGGCCAGGACCTTGCTCAGGCGTGATGGCTGAGATGAGACTGTGGGGGAGGCCACTCGAGGTGGGGGTGAGAGGGCTGGCTTGAATGAGCCTGGTGGAAACAGAGGTGCTGGGGAGCTAGCAGGAGCCCCCATGGTGGGCTGGGTGTGGGGTCCTAAGGACCCGGGGAGCCCTCCGGGGAGCACAGGAGCCTGGTGAGCCGCGTCTCAACCTGTGCCCTTGCGCCCACTCTGCCTTAGCCGGAGGGACCATGGGTCCAGTGCCAGCCCTCGCCTCCAGGGGCTCAGGGCGCACTGGACCCCGGCTCTCCGGTTCCCAGCCCTGGCTGGTTCAGCCATGGGAAGGATGGTCGGGACACCCGCCGCTGATGGGCAGGGCTTCCCTCTCCTGCAGGAAAGAGGAAGGAACCAGGTGTGAGGGACCCGTCAGGTTTGTGGGGTGCTTTGGTGGGAACCCGGTGTTCGGTTTGCAGACTCGCCCGCGTTGTGGCCAAAGCTGAAGGCCAGACGTGCAGGAAGGACGGTCGGACCCGCCCTGGCTTCCTAGCAGTGGAAAGGGTTCGGGTTCAGCCTGGCTCCTGGTGACTGACGGCTGCTGGGAAGGACTCAGACGTTCCCTCCACCTCAGCCGATGCCTGCCCTGCAAGTTTGCTCGCCAGGACCCCGGGGGTGGGGGGTGACTGGTAGCAAGAGACGATGCTTTCTCTGATGTTTTCTCTTTATTTTTTGCAAATAGTCTGAATGATTTTATCCACGAATTGGCTTACTTTGCCCATTTTTGGTCAGTTTGTATCATTTTCCCCCTTTTGTGCTTCACCATGGATTTTTGAATTAATCTAAACCGATGTCCCGGGACATCGGAGGTGTGACCCATGACTTTGACCCTTGGGCCTTGACCCTTGGCCTGGAGACAAGAGGCTGAGAGCAAGGAGAAAGGGCATCTCCTCCAAGGTTCACTCTGATGCTGACCAGGTCTGCGAGATGACTCAGTGTCTCTCCTGTTTGTAAAATCATCTTCATAACTCCTGGGCCTGCTGCCTGTGACAGGATTTTATCCCCTCAGAAGAAATGACCTATCGAAGTGTAGTATATGATTAAGCATTGCATAGCCTTTGATTTCTATTCATAGGCCAGGTTTAGACATTTTTGGGGGGTGGCTTTCTGAGAGAAATAATCCGGTGTTCACAATCTGTGGGGCTCACCAGTGCATGGTGACCACAACAGCTACTTTCCCCGAAAAACACAAGTCCTTCCCTTGCACTGGCTCTCATTGTTCTCAGTGACTGAATTTGTAGGTGATTGTTCAGCTCTGCTCTCTTTCTCTCTCTTTTTTTTTTCCGGTCCTGCCCCATCAGATACGCATTCCAAGAAATTACCTTAAGATCTGTTTGACCGTGAAAGCGGCATTCCCAGCTGTGCTCCAATCGCCCGGATAAAAGAGGCGAGAACATCCTGGGTGCTGATCACCTTTCAAAGCGGGCGTGTGGGGAGTGAGCCCACACCCTCAGCCCTCATCGCCGCCGACCATTGTTGGAAACAAGTCATGATGTCTTAGGAGATGCTGTTCGTGCCAGAGAGCTCCAAAAGTTTTCCCAACTGCACACATAAACAGGAATTACTTCCCCCGCCTTGAAATGTGGCCACCACGCGGAGGAGATGGGGCAGCTGTTTAATAATGCAGAGCAACTGAAAAAAATAAATAGTGATGTACAGAAGTGTTCCAACGGGTGTGGGGGTGGGTGCAAGTGAGGGGCAAGCTTGCGTCCGAACGATATCACCTGGGCTGGGCTGGGCAGGGCTCTGAGGGCCTTGGTCTTGTGTCTCCCAGGAAAGCCAGTCCCCTTCTGTTCAGCACTGGCTCCTGGTCACCTGCTAAGTCGGCTGATTGCAGGGCCACCAACTCATGGTCCATCCTCAGAAGTGGGATTGGCCCTCCATGCTGGCCAATGGAGGATGCTGGCCCCAGGAAGAGGCGGCCTCATGCAAGGAGTGGTGACCTGACCCTGCAAGGACTTTTGCAGCTGGGTGCGGCCCGGGGTGGATGGGCAGAGAATGCAGTCCAGGGCTTCCTGGTCCCTGTACAATGTGTTCTCCAACCTCAGAGACACGGACAGAAGTCCATCAGCTTGGTGTCTACACTGTTCTTATATTGATCTGCTCACAAGGGCCACGGTATCTCCAGCAAGATCCAGAAAAGTGTCTCTTTTTTTGGACCACAATTTCATTAGCAAAAATAGCTTCTGCCTAGGCCAAAGAAGGATTTGGTTTAAAAGCAGAGCCATCTTCTCTGGGTAGATTTCAGTTTAGGGAAAAAGTAAAGCTGATGACTGCTGTTCTCTCTCAGGCTTCTGTTTCCCAGGGCAGTCAACTATCCTCACTGTTAAAAGAGAGGTGTCCACACAACATACAACCCATCAAAATCCCCGGGGCGGGGGCCGGGAGCAGTGCCTGCAGGAAGCTACCGCTGTAAAACCAGGCCTCAGAGAAGAGGAAAGATCTCGATAATCTAGGGTACTAGTCAAGGAGGGCTTCCTTGGTGGCTCAGATGGTAAAGAGTCTTCCTGCAGTGCAGGAGACCCAGGTTTGATCCCTGGGTTGGGAAGATCTACTGGAGAAGGAATGGTAAACCCTCCAGTATTCCTGCCTGGAAAATCCCATGGACAGAGGAGCCTGGCGGGCTATAGTCCATGAGATCACAGGAGTTGGACATGACTTGGCAACTAAACCACCACCACAACTTAAGGAACTAAAGAAGAGAAAATTAGACCCAGAGCGGGCAGGCGGAAGGAAGGAAGATTAGAGTAGAGATGAATCCAGTAGAGACGAGAAAAACAACAGGGAAAAAACAAAAGTGAATTCTCTGGAAAGACCAGCGCAATTCACAGACCTTTAGCCGGATTGACAGAAAGAGGGGGCTCAGAGGTGTCTGGGGGGCTCAGGGGTCTCTTGGGGGCTCAGCAGTGTCTGGTGGGGGGTGGCTCGGGATGTCCACGGCACTCGTTCTTCTGTGTTGGGGTTGGATGGTGATGGCTGGTCTCTGCCCTACCTGGACCCTGAGCCTTTGCAGGGCTGTCCTAGTAAATGTGGGGTCATGGAGGTTCTGAGGCCACCCTTGGGAGGGTTATAATGCAGATCAAATAAAACAGGGTATTTTCCACACCCCAGTCTTCTAGGAACAAAATCGGGAAACACAGTCATCCAAGGAAACCCTGAGGCTGGGCTGAGCAGGGAGGGAAGAGGTGGGATGTGCTTAGTTGGGCTGGGAGGAGCAGGTGGTGGGGGTGCTGGTCTAAATGCAGCCACTCCCTGCATTGGCTGGTGACTCCGAGGCCTTTTCTGCCCTGGTCACTCCCCAAGCCCGGCATTCCATCTCCTCCAAGTTCAAGGTCAGGGCTGCTGCTGCAGTTCTCCTTGGAGACAGCTCTGATTCTCCACGGAAGGTTCCACTTTCCCAAATGGGCCCAGATCAAATATTGACTTTGCTAATTTTAAGTCATTTCACAGTAGACAGTGGTGCTTTACGAGGACATGAAGACATGCTTGGGCGGTGACCACTGGAGAACGCCTGGGATCCAGAAGCATAGTCGCTGGAGGGACCCTGGAGGTGTGCTGGACTTCCGAGGGCCCCATCTTCGGCTCAGGGCGTGTGAAAATGACCCTCACACCCCGTCAGTGCCTCTGAGCTCTGGAGTAAGGCCATGCTGAGCTGCTGATGAAATCAGTGCCCTCGCTGAGCCCAGAGTCGGGGTGCAGGCTGCAGGTTTGGAGCCTGTGGAGCTGGCGGGCTGGGCGGAAAGGCCTGGGCTGGCCTTCTGTCCTCCCCGTCCCATCCCCTACAGTCCTGACTCCACAGCGGGCAGGCGGCGATGGCCATGAGTGCACGCTGTAGCTCTTAGCAGACGTTCTGTGACATACCGCCCAAGACACACTGCTGTCCTGTAGAACTAGTCTAGGCCTCACAGGCGGCTTGTATGACCAGTGCTTTTATTCTTTAATGTGCCACACGCATTCATGACTTCAGCTCCTGGGAAGTCATTGTGGCTAGCCCAGCATCCTGTTAGACAGGAGGGTGGGGGGCATCCTGGGAGGAAGTGAGAACAGATGGGGGTCTGCAGAAGGAGAGTGAACTTGAGTGTTTCACGGTTCATGTTGCTCAGCATGTTCCCATAAGGAGCAAACCCGCCAGGCTGCCAGGCCCGTTGAGTTTCCCTGCCCTTGGCTGTCTGCAGGCTCTGTGCGGGGGTCATGGCCCCCCCTGCCTTCCCCTGCTCACCTGCCGAGGGCCAGGCTTCCGCCCTGCTTCCTTGAACCCGGGATTGCATGAAGGTGGTGTTGCTATAAACAGGGAGAAAGGACTTGGCCTCTTTCTCGTGCTTTTTTAGCAGCCCTGTCTCTCCCCTGTAATTTCCCTTCTCCATTTAGACAGTGTTGCAGCCACAGAAAGCCGTGCTGGCCAGGCCAGCTGACCCGAACCCCGGCCAGGCAGAAGCCTCCTGGCGTTTTGCAAAGATGTCACCTCACCCCACAAATGTCGCTTTCTGTGAAGAGCCAGGCTGTCTGTCATACAAGATGGGCCGAGCGGGACTGGCATGCGGGTGTGAAGACTGAAGCTGGTCCACCGCCTGCTCGTCCTCAGACGACGCGGAACTGCAGGTGGGATGAGGCAGCCAGGCTCCAAATTTACCCCTGCCTGCCAGAGTGACCCCGGCAGCCTGAGGGCACGCTGGTCTCCCCAGAAGGAGGCAGCTCCTTACCTTGGTGGTTTGCCTTTCGATGTCAGACCAGGTAGAGTCGACTTCCGGTCTGTCACAGACGGCGTTCGGTTGGGTTGTGTTTTGTCCTCCTGCCAGGCTCTGGGGGTCCAGCACTACACTGTCCCCAGGAAAGAGGACAGCTATCCTACCATGTGCTTCCTGGGTCGCCTTCCCGGTCGTTAAGGAGGGGATGGCTGTGATCGAGGGCGTCTCTGTTGGTCAGCAGTGGGGACAGAGTTCTCTCTTATTTTCCTGAATTCCAAGTTATCCTGCTCAGAGTGAAAAAGGCACATGGACCCCAAAGGGCCCAAATGGTGACACAGTTTGCCTGACTCCCTGGGGCTGGAAGGGCCTACAGAAGAGACAGATAAGAACAGTGAAAATCCATTTGGCTGTCCCAGGGGTGGGAAACGTGGGCTGTCACATGTACAGACCCTCCCCAAGGTGACACCGAGCATGAAGAAAACCAGCCTGATGGCCTCGCTGACGAGGCGGAGCCTGGCTCTCTGAGAGCTGATGCCACTGTGCATGCCAAGGACGGTGACACGGTGACATCAGTCACCAGATTCAGTTCCAAAGTGCCCCCGAGGCCCTGCAACTGCCTTGGGATGGGCTAGGAGTTATGTGTTCAGATGGTCGCTTTCGGGCCAACGCTGATCAAGGCCTCAGCATTAATGAAGTAGGACCATGGTATGTGCCTCACATGTTTATTGTGGAAATAAAGTCTGACACTGAGCCCTTCACAAATAGAGGTTGCTGCTCTGTCATTCCACATTCTTCAGATCAGAATGCAGTTACTGAGTGGTTCATTTTTCAGTTAGTTTTTATATTTTTATGTTGATAAGACCTCATGGTTTGAGATGCACCTGTCTTGTTTCCATCGCTGATAGGATAACAAACAATTGCAGGTGTATGGTTGAGGGTCACTGGGTCAAATACAGGGTACCCAATAAATCTGGTTTTCAGATAAAGAACAGAACACTGTTTAGTATAAATCTGTCCCAAAGACTGCATGGGATATACTTATACTGAGGAGATATCCATCGTGTATCTGAAGTTCAACTGGATTGTTTTTGCTAAAGATGGCAACTCCAGCAAGGTTAGAAGAGCAGAGGTCAGTTTTGGAGGGACTGACATAGCTTAGGCAGGCATGCCGCTCAACACAGGGACCATTCCAGCTCCAGAGCTCAGGTACAGCCCTGGAGGGCTGATCCCGAGGAGCAACCTGCAAGCCCGACCTGGGAGCTTCTACCCTCAGGGTAGAGCTTCTACCCCGCTGGACTATCTCCAGGGCTCTCTGTGCTATCTCCTCTGAGTGTTGCTCAGTCGTGTCCAACTCTTTGTGACCCCACGGACTGCAGCACACCAGGCTTCCCTGTCGTTCACCATCTCCTGGAGTTTGCTCCAACTCGTGTCCCTTGAGTCGGTGATGCCATCCAATCATCTCATCCTCTGTCGCCCCCTTCTCCTCTTGCCTTTAATCTTTCCCAGGTAATCTGATTTTATTTGTAACTAAACAGTCTGGACCAGGCAGGAGTTGCAGAGGCTGTACATGACTGGCTTCCATGAGGTCTGGATAAAAACACGCAAAACCTCATGGCCTCGCTGAGGATAGCAAGTCAAATGGCAGAGTTAGGGTCATGACGTGTCTGACTCTTTATGACCCTGTGGACTGTAGTCTGCCATGCTCCTCTGTCCATGGAGTTTTCCAGGCAAGAATATTGGAAAATTCCTACTCCAGGGGATCTTCCTGATCCAGGGATCAAACCTGCGTCTCTTGTGTCTCTTCCTTTGGCAGGCAGGTTCTTTAATACTGTGCTACCTGGGAAGCCCTCTCAAGTCATGGGCTTATTTTAAAACACAAAGGACTATAATTTGTAGTTTCTTGTACACAGTGAATGAACATTTAAAAATCTTCAGATAGTGTCCTTCCAGTGAACTCAGAACAATGTCCTTTTTCTCTCCTCATGTGGGGTCCACAGAGCAAATATCGCTTTTATTTCACAGTTGGGGAAACTTGCCTGAAGCCGGTGGCTTCCTCTGTCCTGTGTTGGTGGCTCCGTGTCAGGATCAGGGTTTCTAGCCCGGTGGTCAGTCCCAGCAGGGTCTGCGGTTTTCCTGAGAGTTGTTATGTTTTATCTGGGGAGAGGTTCAAGTTCCCCAATTCCATGTGATTTTAGAAATTTAGACCAAAGAGCTTACCCGGCCATTCATTGTTTTCATCTCTCAAATTCCACGCCTCTTGTTTTTGACTGTCACTGGCTCTAGCTGTTTCAGGGCTGGAGTCCAACTGAGTCTTCAGACACTGCTGTCCTTCTGGTCCCAACACCAAGATCTTCTGGAAGCTGTGCCGAATGACTTTGTGGGTGGAGGACTGAGAGTGACTGGTGGAGTTCTTCCTCAGAAACTTTTGCTTTTCCACTCTGTGGAGTCTTGCCTCAGCATCAACCCATCCCCTGGAAACTGTGTCCGGCTCATGACAAGCTGGTTTTCTCTTTTCCCCCTGAATCAGTGATTCATCATTTATTTTGGTCTTGTGAAGACACATTCTCCAATCTTGATGACATCCCCAAACCATTTGACTCAATTAAGTAAAAATGAAGGAAAAGAACCTCCAAATAGCAAACAGGACAGTTAAATCCCTCAGGCTTTGATGTGTGTGGACAAGATCACAGACGCTGCTCTCTGTTCCCCCTTCCAGGCTACAGACCAATGACTTAAAGATTGAAGTGGACCCCGTGTCCCCACTTCCTTGCCCTACAAAATGTGTTTGTCATGAAAAATAACTTAATTTTTTTTTTACCATGATTGAACTACCAGGTGCTTGAATTAAACGTTTTCATGATGGTCTATCTCCTACCAAAAAATGTTCTGTTTCCTTGACACTGGGGTGAGTGTTTCATTAAGGATTATAAGGAGTTTGCTTTACAATTTAAGAAGAAAAAGCTGTAAGTTACCCTGGCATTGGAAGGGCTTTGTACTGTGTCTCGTCATGGCCTTGGGTCGCTGGTGTCAAAAGTCAGAACCTGGCAGATATTGGTGGTGAGGCTTTGGGTCTCTGCCTCCCACTAGTTGATAAAGAATCCACCTGTCAATGCAGATCTGGGTTGACTCCTGGGTCGGAAAGATCCCCTGGAGGAGGAAATGGCAACCAACGCCAGTACTCTTGCCAGGGAAATCCCATGGACAGAGGAGTCTGGAGGGCTACAGTCCAGGGGTTCAGGAAAAGTCAGACGTGACTGAAGCAACTGAGCAGACACGCATTCATCCGGTTTGTGAATGAGACCAGGTGGGAAGGAAGGAGGGGACAGGTGGCGACCGACTTCTCTGCCCAGATACTGCTGTCCCTCACTTTTTACGGAGGCTTCCCAGACTTTAGGGTAAGGGGCTTTTGGTCATGGGCACAGAGGGAAGACACCAAACGCTGCACCCTGACTTGAAGCCGTGATGCTGGCAGCCATGTGGGCAGGCCTCACATTTTCTGGGGAGAAGGTTGTCGTTTGTGACACATGGCTGTGCAGTTTGTGAAAGAAGGAAATAAAACAGGCTGATGATGTCTCCGTGCCATCTGGCGCAGCTGGAAGCTTCCCTGGCAAAGGGGATGGGCTTGGGCTTTGAGGACTCTCTCCTGGGAGGGAGGCTGTGGGGCTACATGGGGTAGGGGGATTTGTGGGGGTGGGGTGGGTGAGGGGGGCTGTTCCAGTCCGTGCGGTCTCTCTCCTTGAGTTTCTTTCATCCTTGGGGCATCTTACCCTGCAGTGTGGACAATGAGCCCCTTGTCCTACCCGAGGCCGCCCTCCAGTTCCAGGTGACTACAGGGCCTTCAGCCTCAGCTCAAGGGCAACAGAACTCAACACTTGCCAGAGAGAAACAAACCACTGAACTTGAAATCGGTTATCAGAAATGCCTCTTCCTGAAAAACAGAAGAAAGGGCCTGCCTCCCCCCTCAATAAATAACCCTGGAAAACTGCAGAGAAAGTGTCGACTTGCCTTTCTCTCTCCCAGCTCAAGGCTCAGATCTTGGTGAAGATCCACTGTGTAAAATTTCGTTTCCCTGAACTTCCTGAAAATTTAAACAAATAGGACTATTTTCCAGAATGTTCTGAAGTTTTTATTATTATTATTTTTTTAAATTCAGCTCTGTAATTTACACAGAGGGACAACTTCGGCAGCATAGTATTTCTATGATTGTATACCCCAAAATGACTTTAAGAATGAAACCGTGAAATCTGCTGCTCTGCCAAGCCCTGACCTGACCCGATATCAGCTCTGGGGGCATTAGCTTCCGTCTCGATTTGGGGCCAGCGTCTGCCCACCCACCCCCATCCTCTGCCTCCTCCTTCACTCTCCTTGGAGCTCTGGGGACTTATCCCTGAACCAGGGTCCAAGGCGCTAACTCATAAGGACACAGCTGGCAGATCCAAGGATCCTGTGACATCTGTCTTTGCAGCTGTTTTGAACTTGAATTTTAAGGCTACTAACAATGCTAAAGGAAATCAATCCTGAATATTCACTGGAAGGACTGATGCTGAAGCTCTAACACTTTGGCCACCTGATGTGGAGAACTGACTCATTGGAAAAGACCTTGATGCTGGGAAAGATTGAAGGCAGGAGGAGAAGTAGGTGAGAGAAGATGAGATGGTTGGATGGCATCACTGACTCAATGGACATGAATTTGAGCAAGCTCCGGGACACAATGAAGGACAGGGAAGCCTGGCGTGCTGCAGCCCATGAGGTTGCAAAGAGTCAGACATAACTTAGCAACTGAACAACAACCACAAATAAAGTATTTTAAAAATAAGACAAATGATCGTGGTAACAGTTTGGGTAGTTCCTGCCAACCGCGTCTGGCGATTTGGGGTTCTGCATTGAACTGGGGCTAAGTCTAGGAGGACATGTCTTGGAAAGGTCACCCCAGAGAAGGGACTTCCAGGCGGAGCACTGAAGAGATGCTGTGAGTTCGCTGGGCGAGAATCTGGGAGAGCAGGGGCAGGGTGGGGGTGCAGGGAGGCCCCGGGGATGGGTGGGAGGATGCTGAGGGGCAAGGAGGAGTTTTCTTGAGGAGTCCTGCAGGCCACAGGGCGGATCCTGAACTTCGCTGAGAGCATGAAGAGGCCTGAGCCCGGTCTTCTGAGCTCCCAGCTGGGAGACCCAGGTTACCAGATAAAGGATGCTTGACAAGCATCCTTCCTGGGCAAAGTCTGCCAGGGACAGAACTACAGGATGGGAAGGTGTCCCCCTTTGACGTTTTCCCAGTGAGGTGGGCAGTGGGTGGGGGGAGAGCATGGTGTCCTGAGGACTGGAGCACACCACGCATCAGCCTTCAAACTCCAGCTCAGCTGGGCTCAGAGATAAACTGTCTGGGCTGCAGGCAGCTCGGGCTCTGGGGTGGGGTCTCCCAGGAAGTCCTTCCCGCTCTGGGCTGAGATGTCTTAGGAACGACAGATGTCTGTCTTCTGTTCCCTTTATCTCCCCTGACTTCCCCATCCTCCCTCTCATTTTTTTTTTTTTTTTTTTTAATGTCACGGACCCAAAACCCTTACAGGCTTTTTAACTGAACAGACTTTTGTTGACTGTCAAGCACATTTAACTGTGTAAAAAGGCAGGAGATTAAAACAACACCATGAACTCACATGTAAGAACTAAAATGATACCAGCCTTTCTACAAGAAAGTGAAGGAGAAAATGGTTGTGACCACGGGTTCTGCAAAGATTTCTGGAATGGGGCACAGAGAGCAGAAAACAAAAGGATCTGTAAATCGAATGTCATCAAAATTAAAAAAATAAAACCATTTGCTCTTCAAGACACTGTAAGAAAATGAAGCTGGAGACTTGGGGAAAATGTTGCAAGACCTACCTGGCAACAGACGTGCTCTGAAAAGTGCATCACTCAATAATGAGACTATGAAAAGCGTAGGCTAAGACTTCCCTGGTAGTTCAGGGGTTAAGATTCTGTGTTTCTGATGCAGAGGGCAGGGGTTCGATCTGTGGGTGGGGAACTAAGATCCAAGTGATGTGTGGCAGGGGACACCACAGGAAGAGCCTAGTAAAAATGGGCAAAGAACTTGAACACTTTACCAAAGTGAAATGCTGCCTCGTGAGTCATGAAGGAAATGCAGGTTTACTTGAACACTTTACCAAAGAAGTGAAACGCTGCCTCGTGAGTCATAAAGGAAATGCAGATTAAAACCACAATGACACATACTGCACACCCACCAGAAGGCTTAAAATTGGAGAGATCTGCTAAACCAATTCTTAGAGAGGATGTGGACCAACCAGGACTCTAAAAAATTGCTGGGAGGAATGGAAAATAGTGCAGCCACTTTGGAAAACAATTTGTTGAAAAAGTTAAAAATTCACCTACCAGGTGACCCAGGGCGTCCCAGCCACCCTGCTGTGGGGATTTCTTCAAGAGACGTGAAGGGAGACCCCTGCACGTGTGAATGCTCCCAGGACCCAGCCAGGGCAGCCACGCCTGCAGGGCTGGAGCTGGACCTGACTTTAAGAACCTTCTGTTCCGATGGGTCTGAGCAGATCAGGTTTCACCAAGCTGATTTAGGAGCTGAGGTCTTTGGAATTATTTTAGCTTCTTGGGGAATTTCTGGGAATCTCTGACATGATGGTTCTGCTTCTGGGACCATTCCAAGCTACAGAATAATCTTTAGAGACCCAGCAGGTTTGCTGTGCTTCAGCAACTTTTGTTGTTGTTGTTTAGTTGTTAAGTCGTGTCTGACCTTTGCAACCCCATGGATGGTAGCCCACCTGGCTCCTCTGTCCATGGTATTTCCCAGGTGAGAATATTGGAGTGGGTTGCCATTTCCTCCTCCAGGGGATCTTCCCAACCCAGGGATCAAACCTGAGTATCCTGCATTAGCAGATGGATTCCTTACTGCTGAGCCACCAGGGAAGCCCTTTGGCAATATTTAGGGATGAACAAATCCTCAGTGAGCCTTTGGGGAGAAATGTGTTGAGAAGTAGCTCACCAAAAATGATAGCAATTTGGTACAGTAATGCCAGGAAAGTTTGTTAGATGTTGATTTTTTTTTTCCCAAGAAATCTTAGAACCTAGGTAGAAGAGGTTCTGTCAGAGATCACTGGGTTTAAAAGCAAGGAGATGGAGAATATTCTGTGTGTGGACACAGACTAAAGACATATAAACTGCATGTAAGCCACATAAGGTGGGGCTTTAACTTATGTAAAGAAAACATTTTAAAAACACTTTGGAACAAAAATTTCTGAACATTGTACATTCTTGCATTTCTGCACCCGAAAGACATGTCATTTTTTTTTTTTAATCAACATTATACGACAATCTTACTTTTGACAAGTAAGTGCAGTATAAGACATTTTTGGTCTGAAGTGTAAAGCAAGCTACTAAAGAAAAATCTGTTTACAAATACATATTGTAGAAATAACACAAAAGAATAAGGAAGACCCAAAACACGCCCGGTTGTATAAAGTTTCTTCCATTTCCAGGAGTAAGAACAAAGCTGAAGATCTAGTTTAATTTTGATGCTGAGAAATGTACAAAATAAGAGAAAAACCAATTGAGGTCCAGTGTGGTTTGACCCAATATCGAGCCTCCATTGTTGGAAACAAGATTTTTTTTTTTTTTCCAGTTTCTAAGAAATCAGATCAGAATGCAAGCCACACAGGTGGGAGTCCAGGACCTGTATGTGTTAAGCTGACAAGCTCTCATTATGGGAGGAGGCAGAGATGGAATGAGGACCTTGAGGGAAAGGGGCCATGAAGAACTGCCCTTCCAAACAGGAAGAAAAGCCACAGGACCAACAGAAAAGGCAATGATAAAACATTACATTTTTCTACTGGTAGATTCTAGATCCAAGTCTATCTGTGAAAAGTCAAAGGCAGAATTGACCATGCTGAAATGTATTTGGATGTCAAATCAGTACACATCTTTGTCTGAAATCATCAGTCTCAGTTCCCTGGGTAGTTTCCTCAATTGTCTGCCCCTATTCTTCAGGACAGGTCTGTCTTAGGAGCTCAGGTAGGGTTTACCTGGCCCCACCATCATCTGGAACTGTGTTGAAAAGTGCTCATTAAGCCAGTTAGAAACGGGTTGGCACCATCCCTCTCCATTGAGGTTTGGAACCCAAACTTTATAGGGTGAGTGGTAGAAAATACATGTGAAGTAGTATGATAAAAACCGAATTATCATGCTCACTTCAGCAGCACGTATACTAAAAACCGAATTATCAACAGCATGTGGGTTAAATATTTAAAGTGTGCCCAGGCCAAGGGAAAGTGGGTTCAGCTGCAAGATCTCTGGGTTTAGTTAAGATGAGGTTACAGTAATTTGGGATCTTTTGAACAGCCTGGGGAGGAAGCCGGATGCCTCGCATTCTGCTTCCTCCCCATTCTGCTGGGGGCTCCGTCACCCCTTGTCCCCTGAGTCTCTCCTCCAGTGGCCTCCCAGCCAGGCCCCCCAGTGTCAGGATCCAGCTGAGTTTCTCATCTGCTGGCTAAATTCTAAGGGTGCCGAGCGGAACCTGCCAGATCTTCTGAGAGCACAGGCCCAGCGCAGGAGCACTGTTACATCTGCCCACGCCTTTGGTGGTGAGAAGTCCTGGGCAGCCCAGAGTCAAGGGGCTGGGCAGTGGCTTCCCCTCTAGCTGGGCAGCTGCAGAGAATGCAGCCAGCTTTGGTCACTGCAACAGCTCGGTCAGATGTATTCTACTTTTCTTTGCTGTTCATTAACATTTGGAAGTTTGGTGGGATCCATTTGTCAGACAGAGGGAGCGACTGAATGCTAATCTAGGAGTGAAGGAGTATTTATAACCCTACAAACCTAAGTAAGTAAAGGAAAAGGCAGAACATTCTCAGATAAGGATGAATGTCAGGAAATCATCAGTACGCAACATTTCGGGTCATATGGAAGTTACATCCCCTTTTGTTTCTGTCTCCTGTCCAAGGTCACCTTGTATATCCAAGGCGTGTTTCCTGCTATCAGACAGAATCCGGATCTATAAGCTGGGAGTGCTTCTCTACTTCAAGTAACAGAAAACCAAATTAGAGTGACTTAAGCGAACAGGGTCTTCTCCTGTGAAATGAGCAGCCCAGAGGTCACGGCTGCTGGCGTTTGTTCAGCAGCTTAGAGACATCAGGGCCGATGATGATTTAATTTTCCTGGCCTTTCTGCTCCTGCTTGCCAGATGGCTGTGGCACACTCAGCAGCCGTGTGTCCATATCCCTGCAGAAGGAAGGGAGGAAAAAGGGAGAGCGGCCAGGGGCTCACCCAGCCAACAGGAGCCCCTCACCCTCCCTGGGGATGCACAGAAGACCAGGCTCTGCCTTACCTGCCAGGCCGACAGGTATCAGCACCTATGACATTCTTCACACCTTATAACAACCTATGCCAAAGGCATTATTCTCTCCACTTCACAGAGGAAGACGAGGTGTATGAAGATTAAATCTTGTCCTTCAAGTCACCATGATGGAGCAAAGTTTGGAACTCAGGTGGTCTGAATTCCAAATCCTTGCTCTTTCGTCAAAACCACACTTCCTGTCTTCAGAGAAGGAAATGGTGCTAGCACCTTCCTCCCAACAAACCAGCACTGAGAATTAATTACCTCCGTCCTTCCCTTTTAATCCTTGAGCAAATCCTTCGCACTTAGGATCAAAAGTAGTTGCCTCGATTCTCCTGTTGGACCTCTGCCTCGGTTAGTTTAAGATCCTTTCATTACTGACTTCAGAGGCTCTCCTTGGATTCATCTTGGGTATATTTAATTTCTAGTTTGAGTTTGGTGTTTTGGACTTTGGGGGTTTTGAAGTTTATACTTCGGTTTTTTCCCCCCACCTTTAAAAAAAACCTGACATCCATTTTCTTAATTGAATCTTAAATGAATGCATCATTCTCTCATTGGTGAACTTCCTGCCCACATCTATTTGGCAGGCTTTAGGAAATCTAATAATACTGAATATATTAAGAAGACAATTATATTAATGTTCAAAAAAGGCTATATTGTGAGAGAATCGGATTTAAGTTGTGTGGCTCTGAATTTCGTTGACAACTTTTGTGTCTGACTTTCTTAGTGCAGAGTGAGTCACTGAGTTGTAAACAGGACAACCAGTTTTGTTAAGATGTGCCTTTGTGCCCAGCTGGCTCCCCAGGCAGCTCAGTGGTAAAGAACCCACCAGCCAATGCAGAAGACACTGGTCTGATCTCTAAGTGGGGAAGATCTCTGGAGGAGGAAATGGCAACCTGCTCCAGTATTCTTGCCTGAGAAATCCCACAGCCGAAGAGCCTGGCAGGTACAGGTTACAGTCCATGGGGCTGCCAAGAATCAGACACAACTGGAGCGACTGAGCATGCACAGATACAAAGTCAAGATTACAACTGTCGAAATAATCATAAGAACATAACCAAAGTTACACCTGAAATACTTCTTCAGACAGTGTCCATGTAGTTGGGTGAGTGGGAGGACTGAGCTGGGACGAGGGGCTTGGTGGAGGAGCCACGGGAGGTGGGAGCGACTGAGTCACCCTCACCTCCAGAGGTCCAGGGATGAAGTGGTGGGTGGAGCCTCAGATACAGAGAAGCCTAAGGACTTGATGGGGGAAATGAATAAATATGACAAATATGAAATAAGAACTGAGATAGCCAGGGACCAAAAGATAAGCACGGACAGGTTGGACAAAAAGCAAAATTTAATACTTATACAAATACATTCAATAGGGCAAAGGGGCTAGAAAAAGGTTTATAAGACAAATATAAACTAAAAGAAATATGATATTGTATATTAATAGAAAACAATAGTTTCAAGGAAGCCTAATAAACATGAATATTCAAAAATTATCTTAGAAAAATAAAAACTGAAAGAACTATGGGGATTAGTACATAAATCAGCAATTAAGATTTGATATTTTGACCAGAATAAATAGTTATCAGAGTTGAATAATTAATAGACATAAATTACTTTCTTCAACTAGAGAACAGATTTTCTTAAACTTCAACAACTTTCAGAATACCAAGTCATACATAGTATATTCTCTTATTGTAAGTGTATAGAAATAAGAAATCCATGACAAAAAAGAACTGAGAAATCACATATGTTTGGAAACTAAAAAAGAAAATTTGAATACGTAAAGAAACTGTAAAAGAAATTTCAAAATCAAATAAATGATACAGCTGAGACACAGCTAGTGCATAGTACCTTTTGTTTTTCTTTTTTCCAGAAAACAGGGCAGATTGAAAACAAGTTTGCAATTGTGTTTTCACTCAAACCATTGGCAAGACTGTTGAGGTGGACCAACCGAAGAATGAGGGCGTTTGTAGACACTTAGGGAAACTCATATTTTACAGAACGGCTAGTCGGCCTCAGCAAGGTCCTACGCAAGAAGTTAACAAAAGACAAAATGGGAATAGGCCCCAGGAGGGTTGAAAGCAGTGGAGGCTGATTGGTGACAAATGCCCCAGGGGGCAGGGACCCTGGCAGAGGCTGTGTTGTCTTTCTGTGTCCACATCACGAACCGCAGCCGTGATCCCTCCCACGTAGCTCGGACCACTGGCCTGCAGTCCTAAGCAGCATTTTTGATGTTTGTACTTATTTGATAAGTAACTGGATCCCAAAAGATGTTGACAGACCCACAGGGTTGCAATCATTTCAAGCCACTAGTTTCCAATGGGATGGTTGGATGGTATCACTGACTCGATGGACATGAGTTTGAGAAACTCCGGGAGATGGTGATGGACAGGGAAGCCTGGCATGCTGCAGTCCATGGGGTCGCAAAGAGTCAGACACAATTGAGCGACCGAACAACAACAGCTACCCTCACATCATTCGTTCAAGGCGCTTGCCAGGTACTGAGCACTTCTGGGAGCTGATGCTGGAAAAAACATTTGAACGTCCAAAAGCAAATATCTACTAGATGAAGCAGCTGGATGCCTGGAGATTGTCTCTGGGGCCATGAACATCCTGCCTCCCACCAAACATTTTTGTCCTGTGGAGAATGAGCCAGGGCTCACTCTGTGTCCTAGAAATGCTCCCTGGCTAAGCAGGTTTGGTCTCACCATTCTTGTCTCTCACGTGGTGAATGTGATTTTGCCACTCACATGTGTTTCTGTGTGTGTGTGTATAAAATGAGGAGTTGGCCAGAAATGGAGGTGGGCTTGTATAGGTGGGCCACCTCTGTTAGTGTGAATGTTTATTTATCCGTCTGGCCTCACCCTGGGTTACTGAGACGTGATGTGAAGACAGACAACGTCTTAGGTTTACTGTAACATGAGGAAGGTCATTGTAACCTCAGTAAATACTCCAGAAGATGATGACTTTCCAGGCTTACGTTCTGTGACAACACAGAATCAGCCAAAGTTATTTGACCACATTTGTGATTAACTATGGTGTCTCACATGGTAAAGAATCTGCCTGCAATGCAGGAGAACTGGGTTCAAACCCTGGATTGGGAGGATCCCCTGGAGTAGGAAATGGCCACCCACTCCAGTATTCTTGTCTGGAGAATTCCATGGACAGAGGAGCCTGGCGGTCTACAGTCCATGGGTTCACTGAGAGTCGGACACGACTGAAGCAACTTGGCACACGTGCACTCAGAAAAAGGAAAGAATTAGAATATCTACATTATGATGGAATTTCATGCAGTCAAGTAGATGCCCAAGTGATGTTTCCATTTTCCCAACATAAAATGGCCCTGAAGAGTAATTTCACTGGGTCATACAGCTCTTCTTTGTTTTTAAGCAAACATGGTTTCTTTCCCAGTAGATGAGAGAGGACATTCATCAGCTGCAGGTTATGTGAGGTGAGTAACTAGGGGAGGTGAGCCCACGAGAAGGCTAAGGATGTGCCCAGTGAATGGAGTTTAGAGCCCAGGTCTTGCTGGCACTGCGCTTATCTGGTGAGTGATAACAGAGGGCAGAGGGGATCGTCTCCTTCAGGACTGAACAACTGCATTCTCATCGTTCTCCTCGGATCACTGAGGTTCTCTTTATTTTCTGCCTTCTCCACTTGATACTTGTTTCTAGTTTTCAAGGAAGTTTTCCCCACCCCACCAAGGTGGTGGTTAGTGTACAAAGAAATCCCTGTCTGGCAAATGTGCCTATTTTTCACATGATCATTGTCATAGAAACTGTTAGTTACCACATTAAAGGTACTCCTGTTCAGATACTTGGAATATCATAACAGGGACCCTCATCATTATTAAACCCAGGACTTTGGATTCTTATCCCAAATGAAATGTTAGGTCAAGTGACTGAAAGTAAGAGCTCCCACTGGAGTCTTTAGTGACTATTAGGGAAATAAAACACAGCAAAAAGAAAAAAGCACTCCACAAACCCATAATCATGGAAGAAAACTCCAGCTCCCATCCTGCATCGGTGTTTATATGGAGTATGAAATGTTTATACATACTTGCAAAAATCCAGTTTCACCTCTAAGACTGGCTAATACCCACCTGTCTGTGAGGTTGGAGGGGAAGGAGTTTGGCTCTAATGGCATCTGGTTACTCTAACGTTCAATCATTGGGTCATTATTTATTTTGTAAATATACACACACACACACACACACACACACGTCGTCATCATCACTATCATCATCATTTCTCT